TAAGTATAAAGGGAAATGGACCGATTTAAAAAAAAATGTCGAATGAAAGTATTTATCATTAAAAAATAGAATTGATTCATGAATTTTTTAAAAATTTATAGCAATATAACGTTAAAAATGTAAAATAATATAACAAGAATTTTCCCACAAAAATAGCATATTTTTGCATATAGTAGTCATTTTCGCCATAAACACCAGATGTCACATTTTTTTTTTCAAATTAAAGGTTATTGCATTAATTTTAATTTTAGGTATATATAATAGTGTCAGTCTTTCCGGAACATTTTCAAAAGTTAAGTTGAAAAAGTTGCCATTTTGGAACCCTTTCTGTGGGCTGGTTAGGGGTCAAATGTTCACAAAAATATATCAAAAGATAGGTAAATACCTAAGGTATCTATAAAAAAAAAGTATATTGATTCGGTCACTTTTAAAATACTTACGGCAGTTTTAAGTAAAAAAAAATTGAAAAAATATCGAAAATTATTGATTTTTAAACTAAGTAATTTTTTTTAAGTTTTCCCCCATTTACGGGGAACGAGAGAATTTTTTTCAATTTTTGAGAGTAAAGTCTTCGACTAGATAATATTTGTGATCTTTTGACGTATTTTCATCAAAATCGGTCCAGCGATAGCTGAGATTGAGCGTTCGCAGACACAAAAAAAAAATATATAAAAAAACACATCATAGTAAAATTAATACCTTCTTAGCTTCGTATCGATGCTTAAATTTGTAAAAATATATGTTTTTAATATTCAATAGTAAATTATACGTAAATCATTCAAGCATAGATAATTTCAATGGAAAAAGTTACATGTTTAAAACTAACATTTAACATAGAAAGATTCCATTATCTCAATTTATATGTTATATTTGATTTCGTAAAAAACAAAATTTTAAGTTTACACAAACTTTAAAATTATATAGATTATTTGCTACTAAATATTAATATGATATTTTTTACCAATGTTTCTTAAAATCTATGAATCAAAATGGATAAATTGTAATTTAATTTACTTTTTTCGTAAATTAAAAAAAAAAAAATTTTTAATAAATTATATTAACTGTGGTATGTTTTGTTGTTTATATACGTTATATGACGCAGTTCTAAAGTATAAAAATCATATTAGTATAAAATAATAATTGGATCATTATGTCGAAATATACATTGTAATTTGTTCGTAACAATAAGTAACATAATATTATTGTCAATAATATATGAAAAATATTTTTTTTATTTTTACAAATCATTCAAAAATCATTACAGACATGTAAAATTAAAAAACAATCATCCTTTTTTTGACGAATTAATAATATTGTCTCCAATATCCGTGATAATTTTTTTCAACATATCTGAAATAGAATATAATTATAAAATTATTAACAGTATGGGAGCTGCTTTTATTCCTAAAATTAATTAAATAGCATAGAAGTTGCATTGGTATGTTAGCAAACATAAGGTTTAAAGGATTTCCATTGCAAATTTGTATATGTTGATACAATGTTTTTGATATTTTTGATTGGTGACACATAACTAATACCTTATTTAAATTTTTTAATAAAATTGTCATAATAATTCCTATTTAATTAACTAAAGATTCTTACGAAAGAAATTCTAAGTAATTATAATTATAAATTATTAATTTTCAGGAAATTTAGTTTAAATAAATAATTATAAAAATATATGGTATACGAATAACATGAAATTTGACCATTGTAACTGTTAAAAAATGTTATAATGATTACCTTTGTATTTGAATTCATCTCCCGCATACGTATACTTGACGAGAATATCTTTAATAAAATTGCCTAATAATTTATTTCCAAACAAATTGATAGACGCCATAGTATTATATGCTTCGCGTTTAGTTACTACGCCCCTTCCAGCATAATCATATGCCATTAATGATCTTATAAAAAATGATTCAAGTTCTATGAATCGTTTATACTCCATTTCTAAAATTGGTTTCAAATCGATATATCTAATCAATTTATCTAAGGAAATATCAAAAATTTTTGTTAATGTAGAATATTAATCTGTCTGACAAAATAATAGTACAGCACAAAGAAATACTATTTTGTTCCATAATAAATCTAAAAATATATAGTGGTCCATAATGTTTTGACTAATAATTTTTGATCTACTGAATATATAGGGTTATTTTTTTTTATTAGTTTTATGTAATCATAGAGTTCTTTTATAATTATATTATTTATTATTTACTATTAAACAATTGCTATAATAAATAAAATGTTGTATTTTTTCAAAATTTAAAAATTGCCGTTTTTTAACTACTTTTTTTGTCTTGACTGAAGTATACATTTTTAAATTAACCATTTATTTAAGAAATAGCGTAAGTCACAATAGTTAATCTCAATTAAAACAAACAATGGCATTGTTGATAGTGATGAGTGGACTGTATGAGATCTTGTGGTAATGGTGTCGAACATCTGAGTATGACGAGTCAGAGTGTAAATCCAGGCACGTAATAGCAGATGAGAATAGACTACGGCAATGAAGATATTTAGTGATGGTCAGGGCCCAATCACTTGTAGCGTGCAAGGGCACGTAAACTTTGAGCACAAGGGTGCAATAAACAAATAAAAGAATAATGGCGTACAATAGCCAAAATATTTACTATTCAAGCGAAGGCACTTGCAACAGAAAAAAGTGACACATAAAACAATTGACTTACGACAATAGAACTGTACACAATTGACACAAACCTCCGTGTCGGTTGTCATCGATTCACCGTAATAGGTGAGCAAGGGGGTGAGTAAAGCAAAATGCTAGTAATCAGCTGGTCCCACGAAATAATATAATCAATGATCTTTGTAACAACTGGTCAACTAGATCCTTCTAAAGGCATTCTGTACCATACAAAAATTATAATCGGTTTAAATAAGTAATATAAGAAAAATAAACTCGTGAAATTAAAAAAATATCACATTATCTGTGGGGTTTTCCAGTTTTTCTCGTTATGTAATCGTTTAAACTAAAAATGAATTACATCACAGGACTCCCAGTAAAATTTTAATACAAACTGATGGGTCACACTAAAGTGAAATTTTTTTCAACTTTGAATCCAAAGTTCAGCAGAGGACACGAAAGTTACAAAAAATCGAGTAACCACTCAACTTGTATGAGAATTTCGTGGGAAATACTGTGGTGATGTTTATTTTTAATTAAAATAAAATTTAAAGTTAGAGAACCGGAAAAACCCTAATTTTGGAGATAAGAAATTTTAGTTTTTGATTTCGCTATTTTTAGGTCCATCTGAATATCACCCTACTACTCATGGCATTGCATTTACTAACACCCTGTATATTGACAGAAAAGAAGATTCATAAAGTATTTTAAAAAAAATTTTAGTAGTCCAAACATCTTTCAAAAAATTAAAGCGCTATTAAGTAGTTGGGTAAATTTTTTGTTTTTTTTTTAACTTTTTGTACATAAACTTTAATTTAACATATTTGAAGAATGGAGAATTTCTGGAATATTTTCAGAAGTAAAGTTGAAATATTTAAACTTTCGTGCCAACGTTACTATTTTGAATTGCACCTGTGGACAGGAAAATTGTATTTTCAAAAAAATTATATTCAAAAAAGATATATATATATATATATATATATTTTTTTGAGGCCTATTATTCATAATGCAATATTACCTTAACAAAAAAAAATTTTAAATGTGAAAAATTACCCTTTTTAAATTAAGATTTTTTTGGGGAATTTCCCCGTTTAAAGATAGGAAAGAATTTTGTTCAATTTTGAAGAGCAATGTCTTCAACAAAATACAATTTATAATATTTTGATGTATCATTGAAAGAAATCAGTTCAGTGAGTGCTATAAAAAATTGGCAACAATCATAAAAAAAAAACTTATCATTTTAATAAAAAAATCATTATAGCCGGAGTTTAACATGACTAGATTTGTTTTTATTCTAGACAATCGGTATATCAGACAATCTAGTCGACGAAGGCGCCTAAATTTTTCAAACCTGAGAGGGTTCATAATCAGTTTGAAAATTATTGAAACTAATGATAATAAAATATTGAGTCCAGTATAGTCTGGACAATGTAGTAAACATAGATACCGTTTCGGTCTCTAAGTGGACTGTTTAATACGTTTACTATTTAATTTATAAAATGAAGTGTAAAGTTGCAGAATTTGACTAGTTTTTTTTTAATAAATCTTATCAATGAGAGGTGTGTGCAGTAGGTGTAGAGTATTTTAATAATTGTGTATGTGATAACCTCCACTAGTCAACCGGTCTGATATCTGTCATCCTATCGTCATCAGCTGACCGTACACTGTGCACCTGTACCAATATTGTTATTTCCCCTCAATGAACGTGTTCAAAGTTGGCACCACCACTAACCGGCGTCACAATCACCGGCCACAATCCAAATGCCGCGAAAACGAATTTTTTTTCTCAACCATACTACCGATGCGACAAGTTGTCTGTTTGTATTTTTTTGAAAACCACGTTTTTTTTGTAATTTTTTTTGTCCTCCGTTTTTTTTATTTAAACAAAACGTCGAGATGTCGATGATGGTGTGAGGCACGAACTATGGCCGGTGGTGGGCCGTCACTCCTCAAGATCAACAACGACAAGTATCAATATAAAACCCCCCTTTTACCGCCTTTTTAATTTTGTGTAACTAGCACCGCTCTTTTTCTTCTTTTTTTATTTTTTTCCTTTATGAATATATATATTAAAAATCTTCAATAATTAAATAATTAAAAAATGTTATTACATTATACGTGGCCTTTTTTTTCTCTCTCTATACTTTTCCCTCGTTTTCATTAATATTTTTTTTTTAACAAAACCTAGTAGCTCCGTCAACAAGTACTATCTTGCTTAGTGCGGCTACTAGGTCACTGTCCAGTATTCCCCCTGGGCAGTGGGTAAATAGTAGGCCCTCTGTTTTGGCTGAAACCTTACAGAATTAAAACGTTAAATTTAGTTTATAATACTTAATTTCGTACATACATTTTAGCAAACGTATCATGCGTCCTTTGCGATGAAGAGTTCATCGCTAGACTACTTTTTATACAATATAAAATAATTATCAAGTAAATATAAAAAAATGTATTAATATTTTAGACGTATAATAAAAACATTACAATAACACATACCAAAGAGTAACACAATTAAGGGACATTTTATCCTGCAGGGGAATCTGCAAGGATCACGTGCCTAACAACCCCGCGGTCCCAAGTTAATTCGGTGGGGGTGGCAACACGTACCACTGCTCATAGCCTGTCATGACTTTTTTTTAGTTGGGACCGACAGGTCTGGGCACATCTGCTTGCTAACAGCGAACCCCTTACCCAGTCATACCAATTGAAAGGGTTGCTAACTTGTCACAGGGTAGTTAGCCGAAAGGTAAAGTGACCATTGGGATCTTTTATGGCATCTGGCGCACCATAGAGTATAAAGCCTTATCACAGTATCGAGCTCTGCTGTGATGGACCTTTATTTCTTGACTGCTCGTGGGAACTATATGGATATAAACATAGAAACACCACAAAACAACGAATTTGGGACGATCAGAGATCCTACGGACAACCTGTCAGAACAAGATCGTGAACTGGCGACTCTTCGCAGAAGAATCGCCAAACTTGAAAGTCTTAATGGGAACAACGGGACCGTCTACTAGCAAAGATATAGTAACGTCAACAAATAGTGACCGGGTAAAGTATTTCATTATTTAATACCCCCGGACCGTACAACTACTACCAGACGGCACGTTCACCAATAACGATAATTGAACATTATCACATTTGACGAAACACATTTTCCTGACTGTAACTAATAACAGAGAACAGTCACATGATACACAGGACAAACGTGTGCTGAACCCAACCTGGTTAGTCTCCAACCAGGAAAGTGATAACCCTAAGTAGAATAAGATAGTCAATAAAATCCTTTGGCAGTTTTAAAGCTGCAGGCTATAACGAAATTTCCCTGCACTTCTGCAAGAAGGGTTAGAGTTAAACGTCCCCCATCTCTGTATAATATTTAGGGCATGCCTTGCCTATGGTTATCAACCGGAAAGCTGGCGAAAGGTCAGGGTGGTGTTTATACCCAAACCTAACCGTACTAACTATTATGAAGCAAAATCCTACAGGCCAATAAGTCTTACTTCTTTTCTTCTTAAGAAGAACTATGGAGGGTCATTCCATGTGAAATCACCTAATGTGTGTGCTGGTATAGTTCAGAAATTTATGAAATTTATATCATAGACTACTTAAAGGTCATTGACAACAAAAATAATATTTTTTTTTATTGTTTTTTTTACCAGATTTTTATAATTTTATAATTAAAAATAGCCTATGTTCTAGAGCCTATAATTTCACATCTAAATAAGCTATCACTGTGGAACTAGCACTGTTTTACTCATATTAAATAGTACTACAATTTCCTTCTTAAGTTTATAAATTTTGAATTTTTTTGAACATCGAAATTTTGATTGAAATTTTTAAAATTTTGCAGTATTTTAAAAGCGAAATTTGAAGGTCAAAAAATTTTTTAATTAAAATTTTTTTTTTTTTTCAGAAACTTTTAGTAATGTTCTTTTAACCCATATCATATTTGAATCGATTTATAATTTTTTTTGTATCGTTTTACGGTCTTGAACACGCATGGTTTGCTGAAAATAGCCAACTTTATCATCTCATTACACAAAAGTGACTGAACGAATTTTTTTTCAAATTTACATAGTACTTTTCTTTAGGCAATTAAAACGTTTGGTGAAAATTTTATGATGGAGAAATAATTTTAACGCTACTTATAGAATTTACAAAATTTACAATTTGCGTATTATGGAAAATCAACAAACTACGTAATTTTCAACACTCAATTTTTATTTCTTGTATTTATTTTGTGTTCTGTAGTAGATTAAGTTATTGGGACTCATAAAAAAATCCTAGGAGCAATAGCTAAGTTAGGAAAAGCTCCATTACTTTTCTTCATCAAGTTCATTACATCAATAGATAATGTTAATTCTTCGACTATTATGCTGTAGTATACAAATACTTTATACCAAATATATGATCTCATAAGGATTTCTATTGTACTAATCTCCGAATTTAATGAATTATTTTATTATTATAAAAAAAATTTTTGACCTTCAAATTTCGCTATTAAAATACTGCAAAATTTATAAACTTAAGAATGAAATTGTAATACTAGTTAATATGAGTAAAACAGTGCTAGTTCCACAGTGATATTATTAAAAAGTTCAACAAATACTGTTATACACAAGCCTATGCGGATGACTTAGTTATAGCAGTGGTGGGTAAATTCCCAGTAACTATTATAGACTTAGTACAACAGAGACTAAACACTATACAGATATGGTGTAGTAAGTATGGTATATCTGTTAATCCAAATAAAGTAAAGGTCGTTATGTTCACTAAAAGAAGAACACAATTAGACAGTCTTGGAACTCTTTCTCTAAATGGACAAGAAATTAGCTTAAAATCAGAAGTAAAATACTTAGGTATTATTTTAAATAGTAAGCTAAAATGTAAATCATAAGCTGAGTCAAGAATCAAAAAAGCAATGACCACACTGTGGACCTGCAGCAGAGCCTTGAGAAAGACATGGGGTCTTAAACCAAGAGTTATGTATTGATTGTACACTTCAGTGATTAAACCTATGATACTGTACGGTGCCATAGTCTGGTGGACCAGATCAGCACTCGTTACAACTAAGAAAGAACTTAGTCGCATACAGAGAACGACCGCCTTAGCCATCACTGAATCATTAAGAACTACACCAACGGTAGCATTAGAGGCACTAATCGTATTGCCTTCTCTGCATCTAGAGGTTAAAACTCACGCCAAAGCCACAGCACTAAAATTCCACAACTTAAGTACTTGGACTTTAGAGAATAACAAAGCAGAACACGGTAAAATAATAAAAGAGATAGACCAGGGCTTTTTGGAATACCCCTTTGGACTATATCAAACCGGTTTTTAAGAATAACATTCCCTACAAAGTGGAAATCACTACACGTAGAGAATGGAATATTAAACACCTGATGGAAAGAGGAGGATTTGTAATATATACAGATGGATCCAAAAGATCAGGAATGGTAGGTGCTGGCATTTGGGGTCTAAAGACACGAATAAATGTCAGCATGACATTGGGCACAACACCTTCTGTTTTCCAAGCAAAGGTGATGGCGAAACTGGCAGGGGCTCAGAACATGTTTCGGTCAGAGTGGACTGTATAATACGTTTACTAATTAACTAAAAAAAAGACGTAAAAGTTTCTGTAGGGAAGTGTTTCGCCGTCGGCTTTTATTGGAGTGATTCACTTTACTCGCGGTCATTCAGGGTAGCGCAACCTTTCGGACGAGAAGAGGTAGCTGTGACGCAGTCGCCAGTGTCTAGTAAGTTATCAAGTTCTATTCTAATATAAATAATGTACATGCGTAAATAATAATTCATATATTAGTATTGATTCGAAATTAAAAGAATTATATCTCGATTACCATTTTTATGACGTTCTGCGTATGTTATCAATGTTTTAAACTGAAATCGGTTTCCAACTTGTTTCACTTTCTTAGTAGGAATAGTTCCATCAACATACGGTGATAATTGTTTTTCTACTATACGTGTGCAAAGTGTTGTTAAGGGATTAACTTCTACCTGATAAAAATTAATTTAAAGTTATTTATTGATTAATGAAAATTATTAAAATAAATAAATAAATATTTATAAAAATTAATAAATTAACTTAAGATATACAGAGTGTCCCATCTAATATTAATATATTTAATAGTTTTTGATAAAGACAATATTTTTACTACTTTTTTTTTTAAATAACTACTCATACAGTTTAGAAGGTAGGTAAATTAATTTATTTAACATTTCAATATTAACAGTTATGTTAATAACTTTTAATATTAAAATAGAAATTTTAAGAGAAGTATTTTTAAAACATATAACAAATTATATTATACCAAGATAAATTAATAGTTTTAGTTTAAATTAGTTTTAAAAAGTTTTATTATATTACAAATAACATATCAATATTGAAAAATATAGAGTGATTCATATTTAATAAGGCACTCATTTNCAGAGTGATTCATATTTAATAAGGCACTCATTTTCAGAAAAACTAGAATTTAAAATTTTTGAAAAAGAACAAATATTGTTAAAAACGGTAGCACAGTGGTGTCGAGGCACAGTGTGGACGAGGCATAGATGGGACAAGTATAGATGATATCTGACAGTGATTAAAATCACTATCATAAGAAACGCTTCGATGCAAATCTGTAGATAGTGTTTCCTTTAGAGAAATTGGTGAAATATTTTAAAAGCAACATGAACTCTTATTTCTTTAATTATATCCTGATTAGTAGTTCTTTGATTTTAAAATATAATATATGAATAAATACTAATTATAGTTTTTAAATTTAGTATGAAATTGTGAGGCCAGCTATGATGTATGGTTCATAGTGTTGGGCGGTTGATAAGAAAGTAGAGCAGAGAATAAGTGTAGCAGAGATGAGAATGCTTAGTTGGATGAGTGGAGTGACTAGAGAAGATAGGATAAGGAACGAGCATATAAGAGGAAGTATAGGTGTTGCGTCAATCGTGGATAAGATGACAGAAAATAGACTTAGATTGTTTAGTCATGGTATGAGGAAAGAAGAATCGAAAGCTGTAAGAACAGTTATAGAAATGAATGTTGAAGGAAGAAGAGATAGAGGAAGACCAAAAAAGAGATGGAGGGATGCTATTGAATGCGATTTGAGGACAGCTGATGTGAGCGTAGAAGATGTGGGAGATCGTGTCAAGTGGAAGCTTAGGATAAGGGTGCCCGACCCCAAGTAGTTGGGATTAAGGCAAAGAAAAAGAAAAATATTACCAGATATTCCGGTGGCAATTGACATAATATGATTGTTATTTCGGAATGTACAATTTAGCGTTTAGTTGGGTTTAAATAATATAGCGTCAAATCAATTACCTACTCTATCGGTTGTATCTCAATATACACTACACTTTAATGATACAATAAATAAATAAACTCACACATACACACATATGCATTTATAACATTGTGTCTAATGTAAGTATAACATGATAAAAAGTAACCGTAAAATGAAAAAAATGGAATATAAATTTTATTACTCATATTAAATGTAATGTAACTCGAAAAATATTTGTTTAAATGAAAAAATATAAGATTATATTTTTATTTATAATTGTCTTTTAAACAACTTTTGTGCGAAACTTTTTTTTGTAAGTTAAATATTTTTTTTTGAGAAAATTAAGAAAGCTCATATTTTTGAACTTTTGCGAGGATTTAAAAAAAAAGCTCAATTCCAATCTTGAGGACTATTAGTATGTCATTATACATATTTTAATTCAACTTTTAAAAAAACAAAATTTTTTCCGCAATTTTTCCTTTGTTGACAGGCCTAGATGTCAATTTTAAACTTGTAATTGAGCTAAAAGTTATGGTAATATATTCAATTTATTTTACTATAAACTTTCATAAATCTTTATCAAAAATTTTTCATCAACTTTAAAGAACCAAAAAAATAGGTTAAAATTGAAAATTTGGACTGATTATTTTTAACATATTAAAAATCAAATCAGTAATAATTTGAAAACAAATTTTTTTTTCTTTTAATTATTATTTTATATATATAATTAGTAATAATATAAAAAATTAGAAGTGATAGAAATAGTCTACTTGCAGATTTGAAAACAACGCGAAAATTTGATTTAGAAAAGTATATTTTTGCTTCTGATGAAAGTTCCTTGTAGTCCAGTGCATTTTTTTATAGTAACAAACAGTTTTTATTGAAAATTATTGTATCAAGCCCTTTAAATTTTTATACACGTAAAAGTAAAGCAAAATATAACTTCTTTATTATTTTTATAATTTCTCCGTTTAAATTACAATATTAAATATCAATTTCATACTAAATTTAATAATTATAATTAGTATATATTCATATATTATATTTTAAAATCAAAGAACTACTAATCATGATATAATTAAAGAAATAAGAGTTGATGTTGCTTTTGGAATAATCCACCAATTGCCTAATTAAAACAAAAAAAAAAAAAGTTTGTTGGGAATTTTTTCTGCTATTCTGCAAAATTACTCCTTCGTTGACTAGAATGAATCATTAAATAGAAAATTTTATGAGAATTAAAACAATGTTATTTTTAAGATTAATATGCAGTCAGAAAGTTTTATAATTATTATTTATTGTAAATTTATCAGAAAAACTCATTATTTTTTGCATTTTTATCGTAATAGAACACTTAAATAGAAATCATAGTAATCATTTCTAAGTAATTTTTGATATTTAAAAAGATTCTACTATTGAAATATCCAGAACTGAATTAATTTTAATGATTTACTTTAACTAAAAAAAAAAAAGTTAATATTTTGAATCCCTCTTGTGGGCAGGTAAAGGGTTAGATTTATAAAAAAAACCAAATGATAGATAAAGACATGCATCTAAATAAAAAAAAATATACTGATTTGGTCATTTTTGATAAAGTTATAACAATTAACAAAGTTATAAGTTTTATACACTGGACTACAAGGAACTTCCATCAGAAACAAAAATATACTATTCTAAATCAACTTTTCGCGATGTTTTAAAATGTGCAATTAGACTTTTTCTATAACTTCTAAGTTTTAATATTATTAAAAAATAGTTTTTACATATAAAAAAAAATAATTAAGAACAAAAAAAATTGTTTTAAATTAATACTGATTTGATATAATATTTAATATTAATTTGATTATTAATAAGTTAAAAATAAGGAAAATGACATATTTAACCTATTTTGTTAATCGTTTAAAGTTGATTGTTGTAAATGTTTATAATAAAAAAAAAAAATTTATTTTACCATAACTTTTAGCTCAATTGGTAAGTTTGACATTGACATAATTAAATAGAAAATTTTATGACAATTAAAAAAATTGTATCGTTAAGATCAATATGCAGTCAGAAAGTTTTATAATTACTATTTATTGTAAATTTATCAGAAAAGCTCAATATTTTTTTGCATTTTTATGGTAATAGATAACTTAAATAGAAGTAATAGTAATAATTTCCTAGGAACTTTTGTTGTTTGTTGAAAAGATTCTATAATTGAAATATTGAGAACTTAATTAATTTTAATGATTTACTTTAACTAAATGTACCAATCAAAACAAAGTTGTTAAAAAGATTTACTCAATTGAGTGTATTATAAAATTTGATTATATTTGTAAAAATCAATTGTTAATTCAGGAGAAAAAACAATCATTTTTTTTAGAAATGATTTATATAGCAACATGTTACAAAAAAAAATTGTAATATTATAGTCTAGTAGTAGCACACACAAATAGAGTAAAAAAATTATTAAATTACAAAGTAAAATGATTTAATTTTGTAGTTGAAACCTATCATATCAAACTTCATTCGTTAATAAATATTTTGAAAACATTAGAAATTAATGATTTTAATTGTCTTTATGGAGACGATGTAATAACTAACTGTTTAATTGATAAATTAGAATTTTTTTTTCAATTTTTGAGAGTAATATCTTCAACTAGATACGAATTGTAGTAATTTGACGTATTGTTGAAAAAAGTAGGTCAAGTTAGAGCAGAGAAAATAAATGATAGTCACAAAAAAATATCTTCTCGGCTTTGCATCGAAGCGAAAACTTAAAATATAGTAAAATAATTTTAATACGAATAAGAAATTTCTTCTTGCAAGGGGCGACTAAAGTGATGGGATCCTTGATCTTTATTGAAGTTATTGAATCTAAATGTGATAAAAATCAAACGAGTTAAAATTTATACTAACTTAAAAAGAATTAAGAAAAAATGCAAAAAATTCATTGCCATATGCGGGTTGGAACCTCGTACCCCAAGCGTGTAAAACATAAATTTTACCAACTCGGCAACCGTACGTTGCTTCCGGCGGTTGAAAAATTGGCTATTTAAGCTAGTTCAAATTTCAAAGTTATTTTTCTCGACTTAAAAGAAACAAACATATTTAAATAAGTTTAACTATCTATACTATATCAATTTTAATTTATATAATATTTATGAAAATCTGTACTCCCCTTGTCAGGTATTTTAAAATAAAATAAAATACAAAACCCAGAATTTTAACACAAAAATAGCATATTTTTGCATACGGTAGTCATTTTTACCATGAAGACAAATCCAGAGGTCAAATTTTTTTTTTTCACATTAAAGTATATTACATAAGCTTTAATTTAAGATATATTTAAAAGTGTCAGTATTTCCGGAATACTTTCAAAAATTAAATTGAAAATATCGTAGTAACAATACGCATGTTTAAAGTTTTGACCCCCCTTGTTAAAGGGGTATGATCCGATTTACAAAAAAAGCGTGCCAGATGAAAGGGGTATATCAATATTTATTATAAAAAAATAATAATATAGATCCATACATTTTTCCAAAAGTTATATAAAATATAAATTAAATAATATAACATATAAAATCGAGATTTTTTTCACGGAAATCGTACGTTTTTCTTTAACTTTGATGTCCGTTTTCACCACGAAGACAAGTCCAGAGGTCAAATTTTTTTTTTTCAAATTAAAGTATATTACATAAGCTTTAATTTAAGATATATATAAAAGTGTCAGTCTTTCCGGAACATTTTCAAAAGTTAAGTTGAAAAAGTTCTACTTTCTATACGCATTTTAAAAGGTTTGCACCCCCCCTGTATAAAGGGAAATGGTCCGATTTTAAAAAAAAGTATGTCGAATGAAAGAAGTATATATAAAGTATTTATCATTAAAGAATAAAGTTGATTCATGCATTTTTTAAAAAGTTATAGCAACATAATGTTAAAAAATGTAAAATATAATATCAAGAATTTTTTCACAAAAATAGCATATTTTTGCATACGGTAGTCATTTTCACCATGAAGACAAGTCCAGAGGTCAAATTTTTTTTTTTCAAATTAAAGTATATTACATTAGCTTTAATTTAAGGTATATATAAAATTGTCAGTCTTTCCGGAACATTTTCAAAAGTTAAGTTGAAAAAGTTAATTTTTTGTAAAAAAGTTACCATTTTGAAACCCCATCCTTTGGGCTGTTAAAGGGTCAAATGATCACAAAAATATATAAAATGATAGGTAATTATCTAAGGTATCCATAAAAAAAAAAGTNCACAAAAATATATAAAATGATAGGTAATTATCTAAGGTATCCATAAAAAAAAAAGTTATATTGATTCGGTCATTTTTAAAAAAGTTATGGCAATATTAAGTAAAAAAAAATGAAAAAATATCGAAATTTAGCGATTTTTAAAATTGTAATTTTTTGGGGGATTTCCCCCGTTTACGAGGAACGAGGGATTTTTTTTCAATTTTTGAGGGTAATGTCTTCGACTAGATACGATTTGTGATCTTTTGACATATTGTTCATCAAAATCGGTCCAGCGAGAGCTGAGATTGAGCGTTCATAGACACAAAAAAAAAAATAAAAAAATAAAAAAACACATCATAGTAAAATTAATACCTTCTCAGCTTCGCATCGAAGCTAAAAACTACATAATAATATTTTGAAAAATCATTTTTTTATAATTTCTATAAGAATTAAAAAGTTTAACTGTTATTTGCTTAAATGAACTAATAAATAGCTAATTTCAGCTTATCGATAATATGAAAAAAAAAATTGCAAGCAATTAATTTCTTGTGAATTTATTTATCTATAAAACCGCAGTTTTAAAATTTTAATACTAATTTCAACTAATTAGTTCTCACCTTTATTATTAATTTCTATTAATTTGTTCCCATCTTACTACTAATTGTTACTATTTAGCTTCGATACAAAACTGAGGAGATATTAAATTTAAGAAATGTGTTTTATTTTGATGCTTGTCGCTACTTTTATTTAGCTCTCACAAAACCGTTTTTTTTTTTAAATAATCACAAATCGTATCTAGTCGAAGACATTGCCCTCAAAAATTGAAAAAATTTCCCTCGTTCCCCGTAAATGAGGAAAATCTCCAAAAAAATTACAAATTTAAAAATCACTAAATTTCGACATTTTTTCAATTTTTTTTACTTAAAACTTCCATAACCTCTTTAAAATGAACCAAATCACCTTTACCCAACCATAGGGGGGGATTTAAAATAACAACTTTTTCACAAAAAATTAACTTTTTTAACGTAACTTTTAAAATTGTTCCGGAAAGTCTGACATTTTTATGTATATATATATATCTTAAATTAAAGCTAATGTAATAAACTTTATCATGGAAAAAAAATTTTGGACTTTATTTAAAAATGGCTACCAAATGCTATTTTTGTTTGAAAATTCTCGATTTTACTTTTGACATTTTTAACTTAATAATGCTATAACTTATTGAAAATTGTATGGATCAACACAATTTTTTTATGAGAAATAATATTTTTTAATAATCCCTTTTTCATTTGATATACTTTATCTTAATCTGGATATTAATAAGGAACTAGCAGATCATGTAGCTTTTGGAATAATCAATCAATTTTTTTAAATTAAACACTATCTAAAGATTTACACATCGAAGCGTTTCTTATGATAGTGATTTTAATCACTGTCAGATTAAATCTATACTGGACCCAACAATGCCACGTCCCCACTGTGCCGCGACTTCACTGTGCTGGGTTTTATTAGATAAATTTGAGTTAAATTATAAATTATTTAAATTTAATGATAAGAAAAAGTATGGAAAAAATGAGTATTAACGACTAATTAATCAATAAATATCGATGAAATCTGTTATCTATGATTTACTTAAGCAAAATATATCATATTTTATTAAAAATCTTTTAAAATTCAATAGAAAAAAGTTTTCTTTTCCACCATTAAGTAGCAAAAGAACACTATTGATTTATTTCAATAATATTTGTAACATTTTGACTTTAAAACTTTATATATGACTAAATCAAGAAGTATTTTTTCACGTGAAACAAAAATGTGTAATTTAAATTTATATTACCGAAAAATTACAATTTTAAATGTTTCCATAACGATTTTTCTCTTAACAAGTATATAATATATTTTTAAGCAGATTATCAACGATTATTATGTGTATAAAAAAAGTACTTAAGCTACTAAAAATAATAATAGTAATTATAAATACTTCTGTGTTATTGTTACTTGACGTTAATTGATCATCTGAATAAGGAGGTATGATAGTTACACAAACAATATAAAATAATATTTCAAAATAACAATCGAAACCCATTTTCAATGATTATTATAACTGCAGCAGAAATGAAAGTCTAGGACTGACAATTTAATTTTAATAATATCCGTTTAACGCGAAAAATAATTTTTATTATTAAATTCATTTTATTTATATAATCTGAAATATGGTAATACAACAATCTATTTTTAAAATAACGATATTTTAATTGTAAATATTTATTATAATTCTTGATTTAATCAAATTAAATTGAAAAGTTAGCATTAACTCATTCTCACAAAAAATATTGTAGAAAATCACCAAATTGTTTTTATATAAATGCAGATAATAATTTAAAATTAAACCATGAATGATTTATCTTTAAAATGTTTGTATTATATTAATAGGGAAGTGCGGAGCAAATTGACACTTGATCTTGGTGGTCTTCTTGGCCTAAAAACCATTAGTAATGTTTGCAAACTTTTAATAGAAATATTTTTGAAATTAATTAATTAGGAAAAATATGAAAAACACTTGTGTTTGTTTTGAAACACTTATAACTTCATTTTTGTTAGAAAGACATGTCGTTGTTTTACACTTTTATTACAATAACTGAAGAAAATCATCTCAAATAAAAAGTATTTGAAAATTTAAGTTTGATTTAAATTTAATAAGTACATGGGAGATTTTTAATAAAAATAAATTTTTGAAAGTTAATTCTTGTCGCTATTTATCTATGAGATTTTTAGATATTAAATAATTTGATTCTAATCAGTCGAATTAGCTCAATTACTAGACAAAATAAACATAATAATTATTTAGGGCATATCTTGAGGTTCGATTTATCCATTTAAATATTTTTAAACTTTATTTTTATTCATATACTTGGTAGAATAATTAAAAATTTTATAGTGCATCCAACATTTTATAGGGTGACAGTAGGTGATATCTTAATCGGGGAATACATGTATAATAAATTGCTTAAGCATTGCACAAATTAAGCTAAAGTATATCAACTTACCAAACCATACATTCAAAATTTATTTCTTTAATATCTTTCACCTAAAATATAGATTTTTAAAATAATTGTTTTGAATAAGTTAAATTGCTAAAAAATATGAAAAACAATTTTTTATAAATTTAATTATGTTAGAAAAAAACGGCACATTGTGAGAATGACATAGTTGGTACTAGTATAGATGATATCTGACAATGATTAAAATGTAATAAAAAGAAATGGCGATGGGTAGGAGGAAGGTAGAGTTGAAGGGAGGAAAAGGGTTAGGTTTATATGGAATGTGTTGGATTTCATTAATATTGTCTTAATCTTACTTCTCACCCACTCTATCCTATTTCATAATATTACATAAATATAGTGCATGTATAGTGAGCCAAAAGTAAGGTTTTAGTTGTGAATATATAATAAATAAAATTGGGTATGTTGATTAATTAATTTGAATTTTTTGAGCACTTGAATAAAATCACTCATCTTACTTTGGTTACTATAATTCAGTTTACTTAATATTATTGGGGTCGTGGAGTCCGAGGGTTTTAGAGAATGACAATATAATTTAATAAAAGGGTTATGATAAATATTGAGATTTAATGTATGTATCAAATTTTATAAACTTTGGTGAATCATTTGAATAGTCTCACGTTTCAAAGGCACGAGCATNTGAATAGTCTCACGTTTCAAAGAGGACGAGCTTATGTCGGCAACTATGAAACGTAATAAGAAAATGCGTAGGTACGATCTTTGGTCAAGCACTTCGAACGCATTTAATAATTCTCCTGACAAACCAGTCAATAAATTTAGTATGTGTATTGAACTTGTAAAAATTGGTAAATCACTTGAATAGTCTCACGTTTCAAAGAGGACGAGCTTATGTCGGCAACTATGATACGTAATAAGAAAATGCGTAGGTACGATCTTTGGTCAAGCACTTCGAACGCATTTAATAATTCTCATGAAAAACCAGTTAATAAATTTAGTATGTGTAAAGATAAATTAATTACTATTGTTTTGTCATTTTCTTCTCGGATTAAATAATTCCAAGTTATTGGAATTAAAATGTATCACCTACTTTATAATGTTTGTGCGGAATTGAAATGAATAAGACTGACAAGTTTTTCTTTCTGAATATTTGAGAGACTGGTGGTCTATTGCTTCATTTGACTCTAGGCTTGAGAAGTGGAATGTTCGTAATTTATAGCTTTTTACGGCTTTTTATATGAAATCTATGATCTATATATGTCACTAAAATGTAGGAATTGACCACCAGAGCTCTCATCTTTATTGAAACGAAAATTATAAGCAGGGATAATATATTGCATTGGTTGTGGTACATTTGATTTTTGTTAGGGATACTGTTACTTAATACATTGTCTTTGTAGATTAATTTACAGTGTTTACATTTATGATACAGATATTAATTTTAAACTGAACAAGTACAAACATTGTATTAATTACATTAGTGATTATGCTGTGATATCAATTTAATATAATTATTTGTTTTATGATAAACATTGCGAATAATATTAAATTTGAGCGATGAACGGTATCACAACACATGTCTTACGACTACACTGACCTTGTTATCCAGATGGACTTGTAGATAGATGATAAATTGTGATGTTCCTTGTTGACGTCGATATTTTAAGTTAATTTAAATAAACAAAAATACTGATACGAGGGGCAACATACTGAGTTTATTTCTATGGTTTTGGTTTATTTTATGGTTTTATTTCTATTATTTTGACAAATGTGTAAGATTTATAATTAAGGTTGACAAAATAACATAAATTTTACATTATTAACTTTAATATGAAAAAAATAATAGCATGGGGGGAATAATGAGCGAGAATGAACTGAGAGTAAACTGGTATGCTAATTTTCCTAGCCCTTTTATATTAAACAAGTTGGTAAGGTGATGAATGGAGGCTAGTTTTACATAAGAATTTAACTATATATTCTGTCGTCTGTGCGATGCCACTAATACCCTTATGGTAATTAAAAAGAATGACATTAATGTAAACATCGCTCCGAATGAGCGATAGATTTGTAAATAGTAATAAAATAACACTGGTCTGCAACAAAATACTCCTTCACAAAACTATATCATAAATATAAAGATTTTGATGCTCTGAATCTGTTCCCGAAGGACGATCACGTCTCAATTTTTTTCCGAAATATCATAAATTTAGGTTTTTTTTAATTCGTTTTGTGAGTTAACATTATAAACAACGTATATACATACGAATTAGGTTTTTGGTAGTCGTAAGAGAAAGAATAAAAGGGCCAAAAATAATTTTTATGGTAGTACATATGCGCCTGTTCCGTATTCACTGTGACTTTTTAACAGTTAGTTGAAAAATCGTCTTTTGATTGTTTACGTTCTACATCAAATACTTTAGTAAGTTTTGCTACATCAACTTCATTTTTAGTTATTACAAGTGGCGCCCAACTAGTAGCTTCGAAACCCCGAGATAATTATTTTATAAAATAAAAAAAAAATTCACAATTTAATAATACAATTTATACTCTATTTTTATTTATTTATTTATAAAAATTCTTTAAACTCTTTAAACCTCCGACCCATAAAAATTTCTTATAAATATTTTAAAGAAT